GCATGAAGTCTGCAGCTCAAATCGCAGTTCGCAAAAGAAGTACATGAGAAAACAAACTTTCATAATTGGAGCAACCCTCTCTAAACAGAAAACATGGCTAAACCAAATAAAATGCGGCGGTCCTGCAGATTTCACTTTAAGCACAGACTCCACTGTAGATCTATCTTTCATTTTGTTGCATGACATAAGCCTTTAAAAAATTATGATCCTCAGTGTTGAAAAGGTAGATCTAGTGCTTTATAAAAGGGTGACCTTATTTAGGCCACATATGGCCTAAATAAGCTAAACCCCCCTCCCTTACCTTATTTAGGCCACAGGTGGCCTAAATAAGCTAAACCCCCCTCCCTTACCTTATTTAGGCCACATGTGGCCTAAATAAGCTACCCCCCTCCCTTACCTTATTTAGGCCATATGTGGCCTAAATGAGCACTCCCATATAATTAAACATCACAAATAGTTGCAATGTACAAGAGTTGCGCATCTTTTATAGCTTTTGTTCACTTTCGTCTGACCGCGTTAAAAAAATCCTAGACCTAGATCATAGAGGAATTTACTTATGCCCACAAAACTTTGCATGGCATTTCTGCAGGCCAGCGACCAAACAAATATTTTTTTTCTTCTAAAAGGAAGTTGTTAGGCACAGTTCCCTTGCGCTGCTTACTCGGGGACTGTGCAGTCCCCTAAGCTAAGCTCCATGCCAAATTGCAATTGCATTGGTGAACGCGTCATATAGAGCTGTAACTTGTCAAGTACAGTCAAGTGTGGTGTTCTTGTGCACTTTGTTCAAAGCAAATCCGAGGAAAATGGCTGAGCAAAATACTGATGCAACCTCCTCATACTTCATACTACGAGGACTGAATTGTGATCAAAATTTAAACTCTTCTCGGCAAGTCTGCAGTTGAAAACCATAGTGATCTATGCAAAGTATCAATTCAAACAGTAAGAAAATGGATCAGGGAGATTGAAGGTGGGAGGTCTGACATGAAAGATGAAGCGCACACTGGAGGGTCCCCGGTTGTCATTTGTGGCGACAGTGTAGAGAGAATCAAAGCTATTTTGGAGGAAGATACGAAAAGAACATGCGGGGAAATAAGTGAAATAATTGGTCGCTTTTAAGCACAAGGGGGCTATCCCGATAAATGTTGTTTCGATTAAATCGAAGTTTTTGGATCCTTATTCAGTCTCTTTAAAAAAGACCAGGGGAGTTTTTTCCCTTAC